GATAGATAGATAGATAGATAGATAGATAGATAGATAGATAGATAAAAAACGAGCAAGCAAGGCAGATGACAAGACCTGGCAATCTCTAAAAGCAGGAAAGTTGAAGAAAGGGACAGAGGGGCTAATTCTGGCTGCACCAGACCAAGCCTTAAGAACAAATGCATAGAAAGCCAGAATTGAGAAGACAGCAACAGACAGCAAATGCTGCTTCTGCAAAGAAGCTGAAGAAACAGTGGACCATCTAGTTAGCTACGGTAAGAAGATTGCACAGACTGATTACAAACAATGGCATGACAAAGTAGCAACAATAGTGCATTGGAATATCTGCAAGAAATATCACTTGCCTGCAAGCAAGAACTGGTGGGAATCACAAAAAAAGTAATAGAAAATGAAGAAGCTAAAGTGCTTTGGGACTTTAGAATTCAAACAGACAAGCATCTACCACATAACACCCAGCTTACCAACTGTTGATAAGAAAGACAAAAAAGTCTGGATAATTAATGAAATTAATGGACATTGCAATACCAGGAGACAACAGAATAGAAGAGAAAGAACTGGAGAAAAATCACAAAATATAAAGACCTGGAAAGAAAAGTAGAATGACTGTGGCAAAAGAAAGCAAAGATAATATCCTTAGTAATAATCACCTTGGGTGCAACTCCAAAACATCTGGAATACCACTTGAATATCATCAGTATTGATAAAATCACCACCAATGAATTGCAAAAGGCAGCTTTACTTGGAACAGCTTATGTCCTGTGACAATACCTTTAATATTATTAAAGAACAACATCTGCCTATCCCAGGTCCTTAGGAAGGACTCGATAGGTGGACAAAAATGCCAAATCCAGTCTAAACATCTGGCTGACTATGCAAGCAACCATAAATTAAAATAAGGGTAGCAGTTCTATGTAGTTACTTCCTGGCTATTTTACAGCAAAGAACTGAACCTTTGCTCTTTTAGTGAGTTATGACTCTGCTATGATGCAAAGTATAGATTTATTGGGGTAGGGGAATAAAATCTCACATTGATTTAATAGAGTAGACAGGCTGTATTATTGGTGGGCAGAAGCTATAATATATTTAATAATGCATTACCAAAGACCTGTGGATAATGTGCATATATTTACACTTGGGCTTGCCTAAGATTACCCACCTCACAGGTGCACGATATTAAATACCTGCTACTAAAAATATAAGATTTTAATCTTATTTAATCTAAAAATGGATAAATCAGTTTGGACCTTCTTCCTGACTTCTTCCTCCCCAAGTAATAAATTACTCCTCCAAATTAACTACCTAAAAATGCAATGGTAAATTTAGGAAGAGTTTTGTCTCAAACCATGTATTGTTTTAATTTCTTTTTTGAATGATACAGAAACACTTACATCCAAGAATCTGGTTTCTGGTGACTTGTCATTTTGATAAGTTACTGATTAAAGAAATGGCTGTTCCATTTGTTGTTTTTTTAAATTTCTGAAAGGAAACATAGTGTTAAACTTCTTGAATTACACCTTGAACTACAGAGGTTTTATTAATTTGAAATAATCCACATGTGCTATTCAACCAACAGAGACAAATGCATGCATTTCTTTGATTAAATAATCATTTACTTATCAAAAATTTCTAATGAAATATTATTGTGAGTTATATCTCACTTCTGATTTTCTCTTCACCCAAAAGTAATTTCTTTTTCAGTCCTATCTATATCTCCCATTCTATTTATTCTGTATGTCATTCCGAATGTGTTATCAGTTGCCAGAGATACTTGTTGAGATTTTCCTTGAATTTCCCTTATATGCCAGCTGGAACCTTCAGACTACAGTCATGATGATTTAGAGCATTTGATTTCATTTTAGATGACCTTTTTGTTACAGAAACTTTAGTAAGTTTCAAAATGGAGGCAGAGGAATCCTGTTAATCTGGAATATTTCTGATCATTTGAGTCATAAAATGTATGTTTCCCCAAACAGATTCCATTTTTAATAATGCGGAAATATGAATATAAATTTTTAAATTTAAATAAAAACTGGAGGGTTTTTATTTAAAATACTATGTCAGCAAATACTGTTAGCCAAACTATTATAGGGATGCTAAAATGATTATTATTTATATTATATAAAAATATTAGCAATTGTCTAGGCTTTCATTCTTCTTTCCATCATGATGATAAACACAAAACACATTCGTATTATATCTCCAGACCAGTATGATTTCCATATTGGATTCAGAATGCATACTTGATTTTTGAAATAATATCAAAGGCTAAAATGTCACTTCTGATGGTTACACAGATGAAAAGTTCTTATAATGATGGATCTTCCACACTATTAGCAAGA